GTAACTCGCACACAGTTGGTGAGTGGCAGAGCTGGGATTCAATTCTAAATCTGTGGTCATCAAAAAATTCACGTGCTATAGCTCCTTGCTGTATCCCAATTGCAAGTCATGTTTCCGCCCACCAACCAAGGACTTGGGGACCTGGGGAAGAGGTCTTTTAGACACATAGAGAGGATAAGCAGATCACAGAAGCATAAGATTTTATGGTCATAAAGGATTCTGCTAATTGTATAGTCCAGTCTCCCACGTTGCAAAATACAAACATGCTGTTAGAAGCTAAAAAGAGAATGAGAGGTATTTTTTTCAAGGTATGTAAGCTTTTCTTGTCCCAATAATTTCTCCAGGCCAAAAACTGCTCATGCCTTCTGTGTAGACTGGTGGATCCCAGAGGTGGCCCACGTTAGTATCATTTGTGTAGCTTGTACAACTGTTCGCCTCTGGGTCCTCTCTCAAACCAATTAGATCAGGTCTCTGGAGATAGGGTTTGGGCATCTGCAATTTTAGATCCTCTCCAGGTGATTCAATGTACATCCAGGCTTGAGAAACACTGTTATATGCCACTCAAAACTTGAAAGAAGGTCTGGAGACTGTAAATCACCTACCCCAAATCAAGAGATTAGTTTGTCTGTACTGTGCTCACGCATGAAATAATTAGGTATAGAGAGTGTCTTGCATCTTGAAGTAGAGGAATACTTCACTGACATATTCAGGAAGATTCCAGGTGAACTAAAGAGGGGTGATAGCTTGGATCACTTGAGCAATAGAATATTTCCCATTTAGCAGGTGGCTAAGACACAGACCTCAAACTTGACAGCACATCAGAACTATCTGGGGAGACTTTTAAAAATCAGATTCCAGCTCTCATCTCAGATCCAGAGAATCAGAAGCTGTGTATTATTAAATGATCTCTCAAATGATTCTTATGCAGCTGATGCAGGAAGTCCCAAACACATATGTGTGTTTGAGAACTGCTGGTTTAGGATGGTTCACAAACTATAGCATGAAACAGAATAACTTAGGAAATGTATTAAAAGCATGGTAGTTTGGACTTACTTATTTGAAGAGATTCTGATTGCATGAGTAGGGCCTGGGAATTTGTATTGTTAATAAACACTTCTGGTGATTCTAGGTCAGAAGACCCAGGAACCCAGCTTTTAGTAACACTGACAAAAGGTGGTTCATGTTGGAGAGGTCCTTCTCAAATTCTTTAAAATATTTTCAAAGTCAATCAAATGCATAAATATATATTAAGTATGAGTTTAAAAATAAGTAAATTGTCTGGATGTATTCAACCTGGCTTATTCAAATCATACTCGCTATTTTCTTGTCATATGAGGATTGACTATGTGCCTCCATTGCCTCCCTGAAATTTTTGCATCAATAAAAAATTTTAGATTATTGTAATAAGAATGTGGATGATATAGAAATATCTAAAATATTTTAAAATAATGCCTAATATATGGTTGGTTTTCTGCAAGCAATTAAGGTCTCAGTGAGTGGTGAGTCCATGAATTGCAAAAGATGTAGATAGAGAAATAAGGGGAGGAAGGAGTTTGAGGAGGAAGGTTGGTGCATTGAGGAATTGCTATGGTCCAAGCACTGGATTAGGTTCTCTCCACAGATTAGTTTAAATAATCAGTTTTATATTTTAAATGTCTATTCAGAAAAACAAGAGGGAAATCTGTTTGGAATATTCACCTCCAAAAAATTATTTTGAGATGGTCATTGAAATTTCAGTTGCAAATATGTGCATATATCAATTTAGATCTTAGATGAGAGAGTAATAGTGTTAGAAGGAATCTTACAGACAAAAAGGTCCAGAGAAGTTAAGTGGCTTTCTCAAAATTATGGTTTGTTAAACCCATAACCCAGCCTAGCAATATTCACATTTCTGGTTGAGCACGCTATTTCTCAGTTATGTTCTGTTAACTGTTCTATATAATGCTTATGACTATGGATGCATTCAATATGAATTACCGAGAGGGAGAACACTTCAGATGGTAGTGGAGCTTACCCATTTGCAAAATGCTACACAATCTCTAGATGAGAGACATCCAGAAAAAAATATCATCTTAATTGATTGGTGTTTGCAATACAAAGGAGTGCAGTTAGGGAGGAAAGAAACTATTTCTCTCCTTGCACAGTTTGGTAACAAATATGTGCCCTTCACAGTGCTTGCACTTTATATTCTCCTTAAATGCTTCTTGTCTTTCCCATTAGAAACAGTTGGTATATATATATTTAAATAGAATGTTAATATGCTCCAAATCCTTTTTAATCTTTCTTGAAATGTTACTCCTTTTGAGATCTTAGAATGCAGTAAGACTGGAAGGACATAAAATGCCTTTCTTTTGCAGCTAGGCAGCAAACTGACCAATGAAATGAATATAAAATACCATCTCTAACTAGTACCAATAAACTGGAATTGTTATCACACTTAAAAAAATATTTTGCATAACCTCTAATGCAATTTGTTTATTCATTCAACACGTGTTTTTGAGATCCTTCTCTGTGTTAGGCACTATGCTTCTCTTTTAGATCCTCAAGTTTGTTATATTTGACAGCTTGATTATAATTAACTTGTTAAGAAGTTCCTAAATGAGATCAGATTTCAAGGCAACTCAAAGATATGGTTAAGCACAAAGTCATATTGTAAGAACCTAAACCCTGTTTTGGTAACATTAATTCATGCAAAGACATTTTCTAGGTGATTACCTTAAGACTCATGGAATCTAGTCTGAAAATAGGCAGGAAAAGGATATCAATATTCTTTCCATGTTTAACCTCCAATTGGAGGCAAGAATTTAACGGCTCAGCAAATAATTCCCAAATATTCTGTCGCTTGACACTCAAATACTCTGAGTTTTCTAAGCCTTCACAACAGAAAACATTTCTGCACATTCTAGCATAATAAGGACTGATGTAGCAAATATACAAATTTTAAACTGATATTCGTTTCCCATTAAGATAATTTTTTTTGTTTCTACTTCATATTGTCAAATTTATGGCTATCATAAAATACGACTGTCAAGTCTCTTTTTTTTCCAGAGTGTAATACTGCTGGATATGGAGAATTCAGCATATAGTCTTACTATTAAGGCCTATAATAGTTAATATTTATATATTCTTACTAGTGAGGCCTACGATAATTAATATTTAAGTATTCAGACCATTGAAGGTTTTTGATTTTGTATTTTGAAATAAAACTTTTTAAGTAGTCTATTCTTTTTATATCCACAATCTATCCCCTGGCATAATTATTTATTTTTATAACCAGCAGCAAGCCAGTTTTGTTGAATCAATATTTTTCACTATAAGATATCCTTAAGAAGAATTGCAATCCACAGGATTTATTAAAGGAGCGGCTGAGAACCATACACTATCTTGAGGGTTGCATTTCAATGTATTCAAATATTGCATTTAAAATGTAGTGAAAGTCCATTTCCTTCTGCTAAAGCTCAACTCCTAAAATGTTTAAAGAAGAAAGAAGGCTAATAAGTTTGATGTTTTGTTTACTGTATACATTTTCAAAAGTCAAAGTGCTTCCACAGGCCCTAATAATACCTATACAGCATTCACATTTATAGGAATTGAAACGTACTACCATGATAAGGTAAGAATACAATGAAAAAGAAAACAGGATTAATAAAGATAGGACCCTTAAATTCTAATCTTGGCTGTGTCATCAGCTGTGTGGTGTGTGAGTGTGTGTGTCTCAACATCTGTCTTGAATAAGTATTATATCTAGATCTAGTTAACTCATAAATAGAATAAAGGGATTGGTTTGTAAACGTTGTTATAATTCCTTCTAGCCCTAAAACTCACTGATCAATGGACGTGGAACTGAAGTTACCTCATTCATTTTGGCCCTTCAAACTCAGAAAACATTCTTCTGGGACTTGGTAATGGGTTTTCAATAGACAGAGATGCCAGTTAGTCACTTACTATTATTGCCTTGGCTTGAATCATATTTTCAGCATGTGATTATAGTCACAGACTAAGAAAGAAACCAAATTTATATTTGATAACAGAGACAATGCCTCAGGTTTCTTAGTTCTTTGAAATCATGAGCATCTGCCACAGCAAAGGTGGGTTGCCATGACATTGAATACTTTTCTGCTTTCTAAGAAAGCAGGTACTTTCCAAACTTGTTAGCAATGCATCCTCTTCAGACCCCCTATAATTTTTATAGGCCAAAAAATCAACAAAGTAAATATATCAATTTGACTATTTTAACATGGCAAAACAAATGTGCGTGGCGATCTTTCCTTATCTAGGAGGGCATCCACATAGACATACTATTTCTTGATGCAATGTGGTTAGAAGAGATAACATGAAGGGAATTTGCATTGGGTCAAATGAGTAAACAAAGTTTGCAGCTTAGAAACATGTCAAATAGCTAAGCAATTGGGGAAATTTGCTATCTTATTTTCATCAAATCAGTGGTGACATATAAACTCCACTGAGAGTTGTATGTGCATATAAACATGGACTCAGAGGAAACTCGCACGTATCTCTCTGCTTAACCGTAAGCTCCTTTAAGGCAGTGATAGTGTGAACCTTGTTCATCTTTATCTCTGGTTAGGGCATTGCCTGACACAGCATCCCTGTTCAATCACGGGTAAAGAAAGAAACCTGAGGATCCAACAATTTTCTATCAGTGTAAGACCTTTCCTCTGCTCAAATCCTTTGGGTACTCCAGAGAGATCATTCCCTCACATAGCAGTCTGGATTGTTGGACATATCTCCTTACTGAATTAAAATTTGTCTCTCTCTGGCAAATGGATGGCATCAGAACATTTTAATTCTTTTGATGGGTTTTTGGCCTGAATGGAATAAAGTCAGTAAAGATTTTTAGGGGGAATGCTTTCCTTGAAGAATCCTTATCATCCCATCTTTTCTCACCTACTCCTCTCTGCTTATATCCAGCCCTCAACCTTATGGATGAGAAATGCTATAAAGCAACTCCAAGTTCAGAGATGAATTCTCCAAAAACTTAGTGTAATGATAAGTTTATTTTGGTTCTGTAAAGCCCTGAGGGCTATGGTCCTATGTACTATATATGAATAATTACTAAAGTGGAATATGAAACATCATCTCCAGTTAGTACCTCTAGGCTAGAACTGTCACTTCATTGAAACAAACAAAAATTTTTCCATGACTTTCAATGACATTTATTTATTCATTTAACAAATATACATTGAGATTCTACTCTGTGTTAACACTGTGTGTTTCCTATACCCCCACTTTATTATATACCTCATTCATTTTGGCACTTCATTTAACATCTTCTATTTAACACCTTGATGATAATTTTATTTAGGTTCTTTTAAATGATAAGACAAACCTCTCAAATGTTATGTCTATTCATTTGTCCATATGATAAAATAAGACTGTTTTAAATATTAGGGCTTCAGAAAAAAATATTTTAAATTGATATGTCATTAAAAATTGTACATAAATGTACCATTTATAAATATGATTTGTATCTATACATATCGTTTTTCTTTGCTGTTTGAGGAAATTATTTGTTTTATTATAACAATGTATTATCAGGATCAGGAAGAGAACTATCTTAGGTTTTCTTAAGTGTTATTAGGATTATTTCTTAGGTACTAAAAATCCCAATGAATTGGATATTTAAAAATACCTGAATAATTTAATTTAAGATCATGAGAACCAATGGCTTCATTTGCAAATCAGCTTAATGAAAATAAATGGGAAGTCTAATAGCTTCCTGAATATAACAGTTATGCCTCACTGCTTTTCTTATTCACTATATGAATAATTCTGCCTTCACAAATGTGGTAAACGGGTAAAAAATAGATCAAATAGAGACAGGTATACACTTTGTTCAAGTCCGAAGTCAAAGAGGTTAGAATTCAATTACAAATGTTTTTCCTTTGTTACATTATGCAAACTTGGAACTAGATATTATAACATTTAGTGAAAATATTTCATGTTTTAAGATGTGCATCTTCATTTGCCAAATAGATTAAATAGCTGATCAATGTAGAAACAGCAATCATATCACAAACTTACATTACAAACAACTACAAAAATGTGAAAAACCAATGTTTACAAATGATAGCAAAGAATAAATTATTTTTCGGTGCACATAATTAGGTATATATAGGATAATTTAAAACCAAATGGAGTGATTGCTAATGCTGAGCTCTTAAAAATCTCCATCAAAATATACACGTTACCCAAGAGAGAGTGATAAAAATAAACTGTGACACAAAAACAGAATGTTGTCTCTCTTTTCATCCTTAAAACTTGGATGATATCTCATCAAAGTAATTTGCCAAGTGTGCAAATGATGAAAAACTTTAATTCCAAAACCATTTCTCTAGATTACCAACAGACTTATATTCTTGATGCCTTTTCACATGATCACAAGCCAAGCATGCATGTGATTCCCAAAATCGTGGAAGATTTACTGTGAAATCCTTCCTCCAGTTAAAGTAGCTAAGGTATAACTTATTGTTTTTGTCAACTTCCTTCAGATACTTTGCTAGCTCACTGGGAGAGTTGTAGTCTTCCACATGAATGAATGAATCTGCTGGAATATAATTTTCATAGTTTTCCCTAGACGGCCCCAGAACAACAGGTACAGAGCCAGCCAGAAAAGCATTGTACAGCTTTTCTGTGATGTAATCTTTGTGGATTGAGTTTTCAAAGGAAAGATAAAATTTGCAAGTGGATATGGTAGGAATCAAATTTTTATCATTCACGTACTCTCCAAATGCTTGCCCATAGGTATGGATTTCAATGCTTTTGCTTAGTTCATTGTAATATTTGACCCTGGCATGCTCAGGGTTCCAGTTACTTACAACCCAGCACACTAACTTCTCTTTGTTTGGCACTTCAAACACGAAGGGGTTTGTGCTCACCGTCAAGAAGCCATAAGGCACTTGGATATCTGAGTCGCGGCGGTAAGTCAGAGTTAGGTTGAACAGGTGCTCAATACCACTCTTTTGGGGTGTGTGAGTTGGTGATTCCAAATTCATCCAAATCCATTTCTGGAAGGGTGGCCTAGCCTGCTGAGGTAAATTAGTCAGATCCCAACTGATATCTCGGTGATGGATCAGAACTGCATGAGATTTGTTGTACAGAGAACGGTCCGTGGTGAGGTGGCATCCTTGGATGTTGAACATTGCTTGGCAGGATGTAAGATCAAAGGTCTGTCCAAATGGCCACACCCAAATCAGAATAGTAGTTTCATTAAAATAATCAGTCTTGGTGGAGAAGAAATTTTTCATTTTCAGCACTGAGCTGGCTGACTCCATTGGACTGAAGATCCAGCTGTTGGTGGGCTTGATGTAAATGAACAGACATGCCACGAAGCAGCCCAGGATAACGCAGACGATTAGAAATGGGCGCAGAATTCCTTTGGATGCTGGTGTCATAATTTTTTCTGTGAAACAGGAAGAGAAAGATAGAGGGGTAGGTAGGGGTAGGAATGAAGAGTTAATCATAAAGATAATTTGAGATGAACAGGTGGTACATCCTAAAATACACTTAATCACAAAATCAACTGTATTTACCTTTTCAGTGTTATCAAACCATTGAGAGATATAGAGCTTTCACTTAAGCCAAGAAACTGCCTTCAATAGGAAGTTTCTCCTAAACTCTACAAATAATGAGTTGGAATTGTTATAATGTACCGGCATATCTTCAAGCCGAGTTACATTTTTTTTAATGCCATGCTTACCTGTTATATTTTTACTTGCTTGTAGAAATCAGGCACAACAAGGACTGTCATCATCAAAGCTATGACTAAAATTTTCAGTATTTTGAAACCACATCAGATTTGTGAACATTTCCCAGTCGATGCAATCACTTATTTACTCGTGCACTTTTTGAGACTGTAATATAACTTTGCAGTTCAGACAGAATTCAGTAGAAAACCAAAGTTTTTAAAGGAAAAAGTTATGTTTTTCTTTTTTGGTGTAAGTTTTTCTTCACTGTTAAAAATGCATCAGGATAATCATCCTGTAAAAACTGACAACTCTTGATTTGATATCTGTTTTTTTAGTAAGTACACTGATGCAAAAATTTGATAAATTAAAACCCCTCGTTGTTTATTTTTATTTTTTCTTACAGTTTTCTTTGCTTACTTTTAATAATCTGTTAGTACACCCAATATCTACTAGGATGTGATAATCAAATGCTCCACTGGCATTAGAACAACAGTCTCACTTATGTGGTATTGCAGCATTAAAAACAAATTTTTCTTAGCTTAAAATGATATTAATATTATAAAAATAAAAATAAATGAATTCTCAAAAGAAAAGAATTACATTTCTTGGACAACTATATTGATCTTGTGAATTTTAGCAGATTGCATCTAAAAAGATGAGTCAAGGCTTTTAAATTTTTTTATACAAGTGTCTTCAAGGTTATTTCTCTTTGATATTCATGCCTCCTTATAAATATGAACACAAAGATAAAATGTGTAATATGTTTGCAAAAGTGTCTCTTGATCAAATTTTTACTGAACCTCTGAAACTCATTATTCTTCTCACCAAAATAATATGGTCTATCAATTTCAGACTCATTAAAGTATTTTAAAATCTTACCAAAACTAGTGTAGAAACATTAGATATTTTTCCTTCCAGAAAAAGGGAGAAATTGTCTTTCATTTAATTATCTAAATTTATGTGAGCATTTAAAAAATCATATTTTTGGGTTATACAGTTTTTCTTAAAGCATGTGACATTCTCTATGTAGTAAAGCTTGATTTTGTGAGTCCAAAGATTCTGGACATTGTATTCTGGAGCACTCCTAAGACAGGCTTACCGTCGAAGTTAGCTTCAGTACTGCCCAGTCAATAACAAAAGGAAAATAAAAAACTAAATATGTCCAGGAACTATTAATTAACCTTTGAGCTCCAGAGAAACTCAGGAAGGTATATGAAGGAAATCTCAACTCCTTAGAACTAAATGACATTGATGGTACTGCATGTCAAGTTTTGTGAAAATGTACTTAGTACTTAGAAGCAAATTTACAGATTTGCATAGTTTTGTAGAAATTAATTAACAAATTGGCCAACTCAACAAGCTGCACAAAGAACAAGGTTCCAAAGCTAAAGAAATAAGAAGTGAAAAATTAAAGTAGTGATAGAAATCATTAAAATTGAGAGCAAAAATTTGAGATGACTAATAGCATCACATGTAACTATGTAAGGTGATGGATGTTAACCAAACTTATTGTGGTAATCATTTTGCAATACTATATATATCAAATCATAATGTTGTATACCTTAAACTAATACAATGTTATATGTCAATTATAACTCAATAAAACAGGAAAAAATTTCTAAGATAAACTTCGGGCAAGGATAATCAAGAAAAACAAGAGAAATTCAAATTAAATACCAAAAAAGAATAAATAATTATTTATTTAACACAGAAAAAACTAGAAATGATTATATTGAGTAATTTTATGCAAATAAATTTGAAAATCTGATTAAACGAATGGTTATATTTCTGCGCATATGGAAAAATGCCAATTTTAATCAGAAATTATGATTAAACAAGTACAGTTAAAGAAATAGAATTCATAAATGATAACAACTAAAAACAAACACTAGACCTAGATGATTTTGCAGGAATGATATTAGTAATTCAATGAATAGAAAATACTATCATTTTAAAAATAAAATCATTCTAGAAAACAGAAAAATAAGGAAATAAACTTAACTCATTATATGAAGCCAATTATTATCTTGTTACCAAAAACACATGGAAAGTTAAAAAAAAATCTATTTCATTTATAAACACAGATGCAAAAGTACAAAAATTTAACAATAAACAATATTGAAAATATATCGTGATCTAATTCAAGAGTAAATTTATGGAAGTTTAGTTACATTTGATCCTACTTTATAAATTTAACTAGTTGGGCAATCTCTCAATTTTTTCTAGCCCTTGGGATCTACAGACTGAGAAAACTTACTGGAAGGATCTGCTTTTTAATGGAGTAATATTAATCTTTAAGATACCTGATTCGATTGAGCACTGCAGTGTTTTGTTTTGTTTTTCTATCAGGTCAATGTTTAATGGTTTTTAAAAATGCTCTCATTGAAAGTTTCCTCAAATCCTTTTTGAATTGAAATGCAATGGCAAAAACTATCTAAATAAATGATGTCAATTCAATACAATTAGGTTACAACTTTAATAGCTGCCATTTAAGAAATGCTCAGTCTTGGCTAGGCCTTGTGCCAAGCATTTTGCACACATCATTCCCCCTCAATCCTCACAGAACCCCTATCAGGGAGGTCTTTTATCACCTCTGCTTCACAGATAAGGAAATTGAGGGCTAGAAATATAATTAACTAGCTTATGAGGGCCAGAGATATAATTAACTGGCCTAGCCATTGAGTTATGCTCTTTCTTGCCTTCTACAATCTTCTTTGAACAAATAATACAAACCGATAATCCATTGAGGTACATTTGGCACCTCAAGTTTTATTGTCTTGATTTCCCTGGTCTCTATTCTTTATAATTGAGGACTATTTACCCATGAGTTAAATTTAGATCTATCTCCCTTAACAAGAACAATACCTGACACTGATATGGTGCTTATTAGTGCCAAACATTGATCTGAGCACTCACAGTAACAAATATATATGTAAGCACATGTATTACTTCATTATATTCCCATTTTACTGATGAAGAAACTGAGGCAGAAAACAGTGAAGAAACTTGCCCAAGGTCACACAGTTAGTAAGTGGCAGAGTACACTTTCAAACCCAGGCTAGCGGTCTCCAGAGCCTGGGCACTTGATGACCACCTTTTGTTTACGGATTCCTCAGGCTGCAACCAGAGAATGTAATCGTCTTGATGATACCAGAATGTAAGCTCCATGAAGGGCTTTGTTTCTTTACTGCTGAATCCTCATCACCAGAATATAGTAGGTGCTTAATAAATGCTGTATATGCTGCATGAATGAATGTGTGGATTGATGAGTCCCAACTATGTACAAGGTAAAATGCTTGGTAACTAGATAAACATGTGCCAAGTGTAAACTATATATATTATATATATATAGTTGCCAAGTGAAGAACTATATATATAGTTGCTTTCTGTGTGCATTTAACATATATCCCTCTACAGAATAACTACCATTAAAATTGACCTACAAGTATTCCTACCACTACGTGAGCAAAATCTCCCGGTTTTGCCTCTCTTTGTCATGTCTCAAAATTGGCATCTATCTGGTACGTTTTAGTCCCATGACTCTTTTTTTTGGCCAAATGAGAAAGAAGTGGTCACTAGGCAGAAACAATATTCCTTCCACTGTGTGCCTTTCAGTTTCCCTGCTTCCTGGACATTTTGTATTACTTGAGCTTCTTTTTGTTAACTCTTTGCACACCCTCTCCCCTCAACTTTTCACTGCTGTCCGGGTCAATTACTAACCAATGGGGGCAGTTACTCAGTGACCCCTGCTTTGTATAGAAGCTGTCAGAAAAGTTTGCCTCTTAGAGCCAAATTGACATCCCCTTGACAGGAACCTTTTCACCTACTAGCTAAAATTCAGTTGGATATCTGAAATGCCTTGAACTGCTAATTGATACAATTTATTTTTAAAGCACCCATAGCAGTGCTATTGCTCTCACCCAGAGACAGTAATAAATTTATAGCATAAAGTAAATTGTAACAGTAAATAGGATAATTAAACCTTTTCAATTATTTTTAATAGGTTCAAGTACCATAAAAGACTATTTAAAGACTTTAGCATTAAAAATAACAGAATCTTGGGGGCCAGCCCAGTGGCATAGTGGTTAAGTTTGCGCACTCCACTTTGGTGGCCCGGGGTACGTGGGTTTGGATCCTGGGCACCGACCTAGGCACTGATCATCCAGCCATGCTGTGGCGGCGTCCCATATATAATGTAGAAGAAGATTGGCGCTGATGGTAGCTCAGTGACAATCTTCCTCAAGCAAAAAGAGGAGGATTGGTGACAGATGTTAGCTCCGGGCCAATCTTCCTCACCAAAAAAAATAAATAACAGAATCTTTAAAGCACTACTTGATAAGACTTGGTATGCATATGATCCTGCTTTCCATTCAGAGACTACTTTCAGTCATACTTGGAGAATGCTCTACTGAGTGTTAGAGAATGGAAGAGAGCTTGGAATAGAAAAGGTTAGAGTTGTGATTCTCAAACCACAAATATACTTCAAAGTATTAGGAAGAGAAATGTGAAACCAAGGAGAACAGGAGGCTTCTTCAAGTTGTAATTCTACTTTAAATTTTTTTGGTGTGTGTGTGTGTGTTTTGAATACTTATTTTTTATTATTATTATTATTTTTTTTTTATCTTTTTGTGTGAGGAAGATCAGCCCTGAGCTAACACCTGTTGCCAATCCTCCTCTTTTTTTGCTGAGAAAGATTGGCCCTGGGCTAAAATCTGTGCCCATCCTCCTCTACTTTATG